CGCGGCCCGACCTTGTTATCATGGTACTTCTTCACAACTTGTTGGTATGTGCTCATTTTGACTTCCGCGGCCATTCTCCGCTCTTCGACCAAGTTGAGTTCGGCCAAGTGATCTTCCTCATTCTGCTGGGGTTGATAATTTGACTCCCGAAACGTGGGGAATTCAGCTTCGATGGGCAGCCTTGCTTCACACCCATAGGTTAGGGAGAATGGAGTTTCCCCGTGAGCCCTCCTGGGTGTTACTCGGAATGCCCATACGATGTGTGGGAGCTCTTCCAGCCACTTGCTTCCTGCTTCTCCCAGCCGTTTCTTTAGACCATCCACAATCGTTCGGTTGGCGTTTTCGACTTGGCCATTCCCTTGGGGGTACGCTATCGAGGAACGATTGTGCTTGATCCCGAAGCCTTCCAAGTATTCAGTGAATCTTGGATTTCGGAATTGTGGGCCGTTGTCGGTAATGAGGTTCATGGGCACTCCAAACCTTGTGATGATGTTCTTCCAAATGAATTTCTTGCATTGTTGCGTGGTAATGCTGGCCAAAGCTTCGGCCTCGATCCACTTGGTGAAGTAATCGATGGCTACGATTACAAACTTCTTCCCTCCTTGGGCGACTGGGAAGGCTCCAATGATATCAACCCCGAATCTAGCGAATGGGATGACATTCGATACGGGGTGGTGGTAGGTCGCTGGTCTACCGGGGTACTTGTAGAACACTTGACATGTTCTACATTTCTGTACATACCTCTCACAATCCTGGACAATTGTTGGCCAGTAATACCCCAGCAAGATAATGCGCTGGGAAAGCGTACGGGACATTTGATGCGCCGCGCATACGCCTTCGTGGACTTCCGCTATGACTCGTTCAGCCTCCCGGTTGGTCAGACATCTCAGGAGTCGCCCCCCAAATGCCCTTTTATACAGCTTTCCATCAAGAATTTGGAATCGGGGCACCCTGAGCTTCACTTTTCTTGCCCGGTCATCTTGTTCTAGCAAGCTCCCATCCGTCAAATATTCCATCAGATCATACATCCAATGGTCGTCCGCCCTGACCAAGTTTGACCGGTCAAACTGGCTTCCGGCAGTTATAGCGGCGACTTCCAATTTCTCGACGCTTGCACGGTCAAGGATCTCTATCCGGACAAGTTTCGAAACATGCTCGGGAGCATACTGCGTCAATTTGGAGAGAAGGTCTGCATCCGCGTTCTCCGCCTGGGGAATTTGGGCGATCTTGAATTTTTCAAAGCCTTTCAACAGGACAAGTACAAGGTCCTTGTATTGTGTCATGCGTCCTTCCCTTGCTTCCATGTTACCGGTCACCTGCCCTACTATCAGGCTAGAGTCAGATTTGATACTGACCCGGCTGATTTTCAGGGCTTGGGCAAGTCTGAGCCCTCCAGCCAGAGCTTCATATTCTGCCCCATTGTTCGTCAGCTTGAAGTTGAAGATGATTGCATGGTAGATCTTGAATCCTTCTGGGGTGGTGAACACGATACCACCCTCGTATCCTCTAGGACCGGATGCCCCATCAACTGCCATCTCCCACCATTGCTCAGTGGGCTTGTTGACCGGTAAGTCTGGAGTTAGACCGGTCATTTCTACTAGGAAATCAGCAAGGGCATGTCCCTTAATTGTCGACCTCGGCCGGTACTCAATGTGGAATTGAGTTAACATCATCGCCCACTTCACCATCCTCCCGGAGGATGTTGAATTTCGCAACACTGCACCCAACGGTTGGTCAGTCAAGACTTCTCCTGGGTGAGCTTGGAAGTAGGATGTTAACTTTTTTGCGGAGATGAAAAGCGCATAGGCTGTCTTTTCCATCGCCGTATATCTACTCTCAGCCCCGTTTAGCGCTTTGCTCACATAATAAATGGGCTTTTGTGCCCCATCATCTCTTATTAAAACGGAGCTTACAGCATTTGGGGAAATTCCCAGGTACAGATACAGAGTTTCACCCGGTTCGGGTTTAGACAATATAATATCCGACGCTAGGTACTCTTTCAGCTTCTCGGATGCCCTCCGGCATTCTTCGTCCCATGCAAATGCGTTGGCCTTCTTCAGAACTTTGAAGAAGGGCAGGGATCTCTCAGCTGACCGGGAAAGGAACCGGCTGAGGGCCGCTAAACGACCGGTCAACTTTTGAACATCCCTAACGGAAGTAGGGGCTTGCATTTCAGTGATAGCCCGGATTTTCTCTGGGTTGGGCTCTATCCCTCTCTTGGTTACCATGAATCCCAAGAACTTCCCGGTACGAACCGCGAAGACGCATTTCTTAGGATTCAGCCGGAGGTTGTACCTTGCCATGATATCGAACGTGGCTCGCATATCAGCCGGGTGGTTCAGAGATACCTGGCTTTTGATCAGCATGTCGTCGACGTATGCCTCCATGGTCTTTCCCAGTAGTGGCTTGAAGAGCTTGTTCACCATGCGCTGGTAGGTTGCCCCCGAGTTCTTCAAGCCAAACGCCATTACCCGGTAGCAGTAGGTTCCTTCGGGTGTGAGGAATGATGTCTTCTCTTCATCTTCCTTGGCCATGTAGATTTGATGGTAACCCTTGAAGGCATCCATGAAACTTAGGAGTTCGCACCCCGCAGTTTCGTCCACCATTTGATCTGGGCTGGGGAGGGGGTATGAATCCATCGGACAAGCCTTGTTCAAGTCCGTATAATCCACACACATTCTCCACGTGTCACCCTTGGGAGCAAGGACAACGTTGGCCAGCCAATCCGGGTACTTGACTTCCCGGATGTGACCAACACTGAGGAGGTCTCTCACTTCCTTCTTGACGAAGTCTCGCCGGTCACTAGCCAGGTACCGCTTCTTTTGGCGTACCGGTCAACTTCCCTCCCTCACGGCCAACCGGTGGCAGATAACAGAGCGATCTATCCCGGGCATATCCGCCACGCTCCATGCGAATATGCCCGCGTATTCTTGGAGGACCTGTGTAATCTGCTCCTTGAGATCCTCGGGGAGATTTGCTCCAATTCTGACCATCCTCGAAGAATCACTCGGGTGAAGTTCGATTTCCACCGTCTCATCCTCGGGTTCCAGTTTCTCCCGGGTCTCTCCCTTTGTGATCTCTTGGGAGATGACATTGACCCCCCTGGTCATTTTCTTGACTGCCCGGGCATAGCATTCCCGGGCGTTCCTCTGGTCGCCCTTCACCTCACCCACACCACCTGGAGTGTGGAACTTCATGCATAGATGAGGCATGGAAATCATCGCCCCGACTTTATTGATGCCTGGCCTTCCTAGGATTGCGTTGTGGACGCACTTGATGTCCACAACTATGAACCGCATCTTCTTCCACACGGTCTTTTCACCTGATCCTAGTTCGACCAGTAGAACTATGGATCCTTCAGCTTCAACGGTGTCCCCCGTGAAGCCTGAGAGAGGGGTTTTGAGGGGTTCAAGTTGTGTTCGACACAACCTGAGTTTTTGGAAGGTCTCCAGGTATAAGATGTTGACACTGCTGCCGGTGTCAACAAGTACCCAGGCGACATCTACCCCATTAATGTCTATGGTGATGACCAATGGATCATTGTGATCTTCACCGGTAGGGGGGAGATCCCGGTCAGTAAAGACGATTGGCTCCCTCGTCCTCGCTGGCTCCTGCCGGTTAGACCGGGAGCGCCGGGTGCGGGCAGGCTCGGCCTCCCGCACCTCGCCTAGCCGGGCGAATGCGCTGACATGGGCAACACTCTACCTCAGCCTCTGCTTGGCTGACTTCCTCTGGCCTTCCTCCCTATCCCCCAGCCTTTCGAAGGCGGAGTTTCGGGAGGTCGCTGGCCGGATGTTTTTTCCTTTCTTCTTCTTGTGGGCCCTCGGGATGTCCCACTCGCCGTCATCGCTCTCAATCGAGACGCAATGACCATCAGGAGTGTCCTGTGGATCCGTAGCTTGCGGGGGACGCGACGGCCCTGCAGCGTTAAGTGCACCGGCCAAGTTGACCGGGGCCATGGTGCTGACCAGCTGGGGCTGGAAAGGTGATGGTTGCGGCATCGGCGTCTGGAACGACGTAACCGCCATCGGAGCTTGTAGAGGCATGGTCCCCGCGCCTGGAAGGGCGAATGGGAACATACCAGGGAGGAAAGGCATCCCCCCGTTCTGTTGGCACATGGCCATGACCTGGCCAAAGCCCTGGATGGCTTGTAGGTTGGCTGGGTCATTCATGAATTGAGCCATGCTTAGTGGGAACGTTACCCTCGGTCCAGCGGAAGGGACGGGGGTCACGAAGGGACTGATCACGCTGGCCGTCGGGACAGAGCTCAGACCCAGAGGCAACACCGGGGCTGAAATGACCGGTATGGTAGCAGCCACAGGGATGCTGGCTCCCTCGTTGGTGGCCTGCACCTGAGCGGAAGTAGTGTTGATTTGTTGGTTGGAAGACATTTCGAGTGGTGTTTTGGTGGGTAGGTTTGTGTTTAGGAGAAGAAACCTTAACGGTCCCACGGGTGGCGCCAAAAATGATGGTGTAAATTACTTGACCGGTCAAACTATACTAGACCGGGTCTAGAATAGTTCGCTTGATTTGGCAAAGTAAGAAAGGTAAAAACACGCAAATTGACCGGTAGGACTTTAGATGGAACACCTGTAGCCCAATTTATATTATAACGGAGAATGCACGGGTGCTTTTACAAGGGAGTTTAGAGAGAATGAATTCGGATCCCTCTTTCTGAGGTTTACATGAGTATTTATACTAGGCTAAGGGGACAGGACCACGTGCGCCCACGTGGGGGCATGCTGCTGATGTGGTGCGAGGTGACTGGTTTTGTCCTCAAGCTGCCTTGTCGCCTTGTGAAGGGGATCATTCTCTTTGTCAAGTAGTGCCTTGGATGGATTCTCCAGCATCTCCAGTTGTCCTCTACTGACACGGGTCGCTACACGCCAAGCCCTCGCAGATCCTCCTCTGCCGACATTTTCCACCCCCAGAAACTACACCGGGTAATCTCCGAGGGATGAATTTATCGAAATCTGGAATAAATAGGATGATAACGTAGTTTGACCGGTATACTTTTTTTGTGAAGTGTACCGGTCATTATTCGGCCGATGATATATCGTTTTGCTGGCGATTTAAGTCTCCCTTCCAAAACTTTCGAGATTGACCGGTCAAAGATTTGGCCTTCTCCTTTGACCGGTCTTGGGTGAAATACACCCATCACGTAGTACTATATTTTTATATTATAAAAAAATTGTTTCATTATATTATACATGAAGCTTAATGCTAACTGCTAAACAATATTGTATGATTATTGTTTATGAAAAAATTATAATACTCCTTTTTTAAAATAGATATTATATTATAATTGAGTGAGTAACCGAGTTATAATATGATGTTAATGTCACCTAGCGGCTAGCCCGGCCTTTTTTCTTAAATTATGGAAGTTTTTATTCCAATTGTTCACGTTCTAGTTATGTACCGTACATATGTGCAATGTTAGGGATATACCAAAATAGGATACCTCATTAGTACACCAAGTTTTTACAGACACGACAAATTCTCCTATAAACATAAGGTACATGCTTATTTTATGGACCTTGGTGCATTTGTAGCCTAAAAGAAGTAAATCTTTTATAAAATAGAAAATATCCACATGAAAGCTCATAAAAAATGTGAGAATGTCCACATTTTAAATTTGGATCTTGGGACCATAAAAACATCACTCTACAGACAAACAAACACACAATGTTAAAAGCTTAGTATAAAATTTTGATATCATATTTTAGTGTATCCTAAGTTAATTCATGTACATATACATCAATACATGATACATGTTCCAACTTCCAAATGTCAAATTTCTCTTATATTAAAATCACGCTTTTCATTTTTTGGTGTCTCACATTTATTACATGTCTTTCAATTACATCCCTAAATTAAAATCATACTTTTCATTTTTGGTGTCTCAAAATGAAGGTCATAATTCTCACATTTATTTCTAGTATGTAGAATATGTGGCACACAATATTTTTGCTCTTTTAAAAATAAATTACAATTATTTACTTTTTAGATTACACATTTTTCTAAAATTTTGTGAAATTTAAAAGTACATTTGATTCGTGGAGGATGAGAGAAATATAATTAATCTAGATTCCAATTATTAGATATCACACTTTTTACTTAAATTACTAGACTGGAGTATAAATTATGAAGTTTAGATTATAGTTAAAATTAAAATGAAAAAAATGATTTAATTTGAGTTTAATGTTCGAAAATTAGAATATGAAAACTGATGTACATATATACAATCTGAATGCTGAAGTGCGAGAGCAAAAGAGCGAAAAAATATCCTAAATAGGAGTAAAATATAGAAAATTAAAGTATCAAAATATGAGTTCAATGTTTTTATCTCCAAATAAAATAGAAGTTTGCACAGTGGTAATGTGACACTTTATATGAACATTTCACATAAAGTTTTTGGTAACGTATATGGTCAGAAAATGCTCAATGTATCCCAATTTTGACACCACATTGGAAAAATACCAAAATAGAGTAAAACATGCAGAAATTACCAAAATAAAAATTTCATATTTTATCACCAAAATAATAGCTATAATGTCAATATATAATGTCAAAGAAAATTGTGAAATACTAATATACAGTGTCTCGATGTCATGATGGAAATTTTTATTTCGAAGATAGTAACATAAAACTTCTATTTTGGAGATACGAGTTACGTAGAATATTTTAAGGTGAATTTATTTAAATAGTACTAAAACATAGTGACTTTCCCAATGTAGTTAATATGTTTTTATTTCTCAACGTAGTACCACTGGTCACTGTGCACTGGTCATTGTTCAAGTATATGTCCACCGCCACTTGACATTGTTCAAACTAAATGTCCGACATTGTTGCTGTCACTAGACATTATTCAAGTACAATTTATGAAATAAAAATTTTTAAGTACTACATTGAGAAATAACATATGCTTTAGTACTATTTCGTGCAAAATTTCACATATTTTATTTTTATTTGAGGTGAATTCTCCCCCACCACGTTGACCCCACCATCTAACGGGCGTTCAAATAGATTTTTCACTATTTCGTGTTTGTGAATGTCTATAAAAGGATGGCAAAAAGTTATGTCAAAATTGGGGTCCCTAACCAAAACTCATCAAATGAGGGTTTATTTTTGGAGTTGAAGGTTATGTAAGAAAGATTTTACTTGCTTTAATGACTTGGTCACAATCAATAATTTAAAAACCTCAAACTTTTTATTAGTTTTGGAAAAAATCAACCCGTGAGATATCTTAAAGGCATTGGAGAGATCTTTTTTTCAAACATTTATTTGTGAGACATTTTACTAGAAAAGAATATCTCGTTCATAGTGTTTTTGATGGTTTTACAACAATTTTAACTTTGGCATGGGAAAATAATAAAACGTCTTAAATCAACACCAAAACGTCTCCAAAAAAACCTAACACCAAAAGAAAGCTAAGAGCCAAATGGGAAAATAAGAAAAACCAAACACCACTTTCGTTCACATTCTACCAAAGTTCAAGAAAAATACTACACCACTTTGGCATGTCCTTTTTGGACTTTTAACTTTTTTCCATAGTCCTAACTCACATCTTATGTGTATTTTTAATATTGTTTTCAAACTTTAAATTTATTTCTTAAGTTTTGATTTCAAAACGTTGCAGCAACATCTTTCCAATCATTTTCTGGTTATTTTCCGGCGAATATGGAACATTGGTGCCTAGTTTTTAAAAATGGGGGGCACATATGCTCATTTCTTATTTTTCATTTATTACTTTATCCCTCCCCTTTTAACTTTTTTTATTTCTTTGTTCTACCTTTCCTAGAAAAGTTTTTTAAATTTATTTTAAATTTTTTATAATGTTTTTAAAATTTAAAATAAGATGTACAAATGCAGTAAATGTTAATTTTTTTCATACAAATATAATTTTAAATTTTAAGAACATTATAAAAATAATTTTAAAAAGAAATTTAAAATATATTGATTAACAAAAGAAATAAAAAAGGGAAAAAAAAGAGAAATGAGAAATGAGCACCAATGCCCCTATGAATTATGATTTGGAAATTAAGCATTATGCCCCTTTTTTGTCTAAAAAATGACCAGAAAATAATCAAAGGAATGTGATTGCAATATTTTGAAACAACAAAAATTTTAAAAATAAGTTTCATAAATAAAAAAGATATTGATGCATGTTTTTCAAACTAGTAGTGCTATTTGACCATTGGCAAAACACTCCCATATTCATACATTCAACACTGAAGTCTGAAGAATCATTTATTCCCACCAACAGCTCTGTGCCAAATTCATTACTCATCACCTCCAAAGCCCCTTTTTTCATTCCTTTTACATTTATGAAACCCCAAAGCTAAGCTTCCCCACCCCACCCAAAGTGAAATCCTTTTCCAACTTCTATTGTCAAATTTTCTGAGGCCTTTTCAAATCTTCTTTTATATGGAAAGAAAAAGTTCAAAATAGGAATAAATCAGTCTTTCATTCTCTCTGATTCACTCCATATTTCATTGCAGATACTCCGTATAATTCTATAATATAAAAGGATGTTATGAGAATTTTGGAGCTTCTTGTCTTAATTGTTATTATCGCAGAAAGATGCTTTGGTGTCTGGGCTTTCTTCTCTCTGTTGGGTTCTTTAAACATCCATGATTCCATGTCAAAGGTAAAAACTATAAATTCATATACCCATTCATGATTCCATGACACTTTTTTACTTTTCATAGAGTAAAGTTTTCATTTTTCAAGCTGTGTGGCACTTTCTATTTTTCTTGGTTCAAACCCAGTGCCCAAGATTTGAATTTTATTATGTCGATTTGGTTTCAGTGTGAATTTCTTGATGAATCTTGAGAAAATCGCACCAATAGAGTGTGGAAAGAGCTTTTGATGGGTTGGTGGGAAAAGCCCCTTTTGAGGAACTGTAATTTGGCGCCTAATTCTCAGATGGGGTTTGGAATTCTTTGTTCATTTCTGGTTTTTGCTGTGTGCTTCGCCCTAGTGAGTTCCCAGGAACCAAACACTGATGGGTTCTTTGTCCATAATTTCATGGAAAATATGGGGTTAAAATTTAACTCCTCCAAAGTGCACACCTTTTCTGGTAATTTTTGTTCTTGGAAAGGGGTGTTCTGTGATTCTAAAGAGCAAAGGGTTGTCAAGTTGATATTTTCTGGGTTTGGTCTATCTGGTGTGGTTTCTGAGAACACCATAGGAAAGCTCACAGGGCTTGAAATGTTGGATTTAAGTGACAATAACCTCACTGGTTTACCTTCTGACTTCTGGAGTTTGGGTTCTTTGAAGTCCCTTAACCTTTCTTCCAACAGATTCTCTGGGCCTCTCCCAAATAACATTGGAAACTTTGCCAATCTTGAAAGATTGGATCTCTCTTGCAACAGATTCTCCGGGCCTCTCTCAAATAACATTGGGAACTTGGCTAATCTTGAAATATTAAATCTTTCTTGCAACAATTTCTCCGGTGGCATACCGGAGGCCACGAGTTCTCTCACAAGTTTGAAGTTTCTTGATCTGAGCAGAAATGGGTTTGATTCAAAGATCCCTTGTGGGATTTTGAATTTCCACTTGCTGGTTTC